CAGGCCCCGGTTGTTCGAAGGATGGATAACGCTATACACTGGATAAATCTCTATCCGCTGGATAGCGCAGTACGTTTTGGTAACACTTATCCGCTGGATAGCGATTTATCCGTTGGATAGCGCTATCCGCCTTTTGAACAACCGGAGCCTGAACAGTTGCTTCACAGTGGGTTTTTTTTTTTTTTTTACTTACATTGGCTCCTCTATGCGCAGCCGCTTTTTTAACCGCTGGTGGAGATTACGCTCCTCCCGATGTACATAAGCTCGGTTTTGACCAAGTTTCAATCTGAGGTTAATGACTATCTTGATATTTCTGCTTCACTGAGCTAGAACGAATTAAAGTATTTTGTAGATATGAGTGAGATTGATTTTAAGATATGTTTATAAGAATGCTTTCAGCACGAAATCAGGGACAAAATCCATTCACCCATCTATACTGAGATTTTAGGGGTCCATTAAAAGAAGCGAGGAGGTAAATCTGCGCAAATTTTTTTACGTTTCGATAAAACAAACAACAACAAATACAACAATTGCAAAAATTGTTTTATCAGTCACTCTTGAGTGAAACGAGAACAAATCATTTAAGTAACATTATAATTTTATCCAAGAATGGTGTGAAGCTTCCGCATCAACGATGTTTGTGTCTTTGGCCTCAGTGTTAAATCTGAACTTAATTGCCTTAAGCAAAAGCATAAAGGTTGTCAAGCGAACCATGTATATCAATTTCCTCCCTTGTGAAAGAATGGCCTGGTTGTACTAAGTTCTCGTTTGGGAGGCTTCTGTCGCTTCCACAACCTTTCCGTTGAGAAATTTAGGTTGCGACTCAGACGCCTTTCATTTAGAGGAAAGGACACATTTCCCTCGTCATAGCTCATGCAGGTTTGTTTAACATGTGTGATGTTATTAAACTAGAAATACAGAATAACACCCAAATGCCCATATCTTCGAGCTAACCACATTAATTTAATAACTTATTAGAATAGGATTCCAGGATTTTGCTGCGAAATGACTGAAGGAATTGATTTTGTAAGAAGTGGTCGATGGCAAGCAAAAGATATAATGTTCTCTTAAAAATAGATGCTAGAGCACAAGTGAAACATATCTTTTAAATATCTTGGAAAATCAGGAATTGAAAACATTTAATAGTAAGAATCACGTTTTGTACACGCTTATTCCTCAGGTTTGTAGTTCTGATATTTAAAAATAAATACTTTAGCCAGAGTTAGGACATCTGCTTACTTGTAAGCATTTTTTCACATCAACAGCGTTGCCCATGGAAAAATAGGGACTCTGAATTGACCAACCAGAGCGTGCGCTTTACATGATTATGTCATGATAAATTATCTTAGCCAGAGTTAATCATCCTTGAAAATATATTGAAGAAGTCACTTGTTAGAAGGTCCAGTTTATCAGAATATTTCTTTTTTACCAGAGAACATAGAACAATAGTAGAAGCGGGAAAGAATAAATGCCTTGTAAAGACGTGGCATAGTTTCAGTAGTTATCAGTTTGCCAAACGTCGTCCTAACGTTAAATTTATTCGATCCTTTTTATATAGAGAGGACATTATGCAGCTTAAATGTAAGATCCTTATAAATCGCAAGGCCAAAGACATCCATTGAGCCATTCTCTGAGAACATAAACTAATAGTCATTGTTTCCTAATCTCGTCATTTGATGTTTGCTATGATTGGCTGTAATTCCACAATTCTCGTAAAAGGCGTTTGCTAAGTTTACCTCATCACGGTGAGATACGCCCTGCCCGAAATACCAGATCCGTACAGGAGGTATAGAGTTGACTATTTAATGGTAGTATTACCTACAGTGATCACTACACTGACCAAACATTCTTTGATGTGTGAGAATTGTATTTGATTCCAAGCGAAACTTTACATTAAACAAAAAAGGGCGACTAAAAACCAAAACCAAAAAACAACAACAACACGAGGTTTCGAGTTACGTTTTTATCACATGATGTCAATCATAGGTACGTAAAGTGTCCAAAATTGAACTAAAACAATGTAGTTATATGTGAAGGTGTAGTCTGATCGTCCGGGTGAGTGTAGTCCTGAGAAGGACTGTTGTCGGTGGTAGTGACTGACGTTTCGACAACCTGTGCAGAAGTCATTATCAGAGTCAAGTGAATGATTGTTGTCAGTAGAATGTTCTTATTCCAGTTCGTGTGAAATGATCGGTTGGTTTTGCCGTGATGTTATTGGCTGTAATTGTATGTATTCTTGTTGATAAGTTTTCTTAGCCCTTATTGCCTGTTCGGAAGACAAAATTTTTAAGGTTGTTAGCCCTTATTGCCTGTTCGCAAGACAAAATTTTTAAGATTGTTACGTGACTGCTAATGTTGTTGTTGTTGACAACTTGGTGTATCTTTGCCAACATCGTCTTCCTCATCATCATTGTCGTTGTCTTAGCACAGCCTCGTGAACATTGTTACGTGGGTTTTTCTCTTATGACTCACTGTTAATTTTTCTTCAGAGGCATTGGTGTTTTCATTAAAAGGCTCCGAACTAAGGCTGCCTCGTCTATTCGGCCACCTGTAAAACTGGACAAGGTACGAGAAGCTGTGTTACCCGTTCATATCATTCTAGGTTTTAGTGTCCCAAAAACTGAATGAAAGTTATTCGCTGACTAGAAACCCTCTCCTGGTTGCAGAGAATGTAGGTCATGTTGCCCCATGGCCATGTCGCTTAAGTCACTTCGCCCCAAAGCTGGTTGATCTCGCCCCCGATTGCGTTCACGTCGCTCCCAAGTATGATCAAAGTGCAATGAGTTTGAGTTAGGTGAACCTTTTATACCCCTTGATTCTTGTAGGTTAAACCATGATACAAGGAGTCTCATTTTTGGAGTGACATGACTACACTTAGGGGCGATCTCATAGAGCTAAAGGGAGGCCTTGGCTCTGGGCGGCATGGCATTGGGCGATCTGATCTGTGTCCGCTGAAGAGACTTGATCAAGGGATTTATATTTACAACATCAAGAGACAAATTTGAAAACTGGCTTACGTAATTTTTTTTTTTTTTATCTCGCCCTCTAGCAATCACCAATCCATTCGTACATCCGCTGGTTTGAACCGCTCGTGATCCGCGCCCTGAAGGAATACACTTTGTCCACTAATGTTATCTTACAGCAGCAAGTCTTGAGTCTTCTGGCTCAGCTTATAAGACTAAGAGTTAATTATTCATTATTGGATTCTGATCAGGTGAGGGCCCCTAAGATAGTGTCTTTAGCACCCTAAAAATAAAAGCGATTTCTGTAGGAATATGTTTTCATTTGTTGTCAAGTGCACTTTTCAAGGTGAACATTTCGTGCTATTACGCATAAGCTAGGACAGTTTGTCAGGAAACTTTGTTGGAGTTGAATTTTACCTTAGTTTATTGGAGCACTTATTGGTAGTAATCAGCTATGGGAATTTGTGTTATATAAATGGCTGCGATTTTCTCTACGCAGGTATTCGTCAGCTATATTAAAAAACAATTTGAATTCATTGATGCAGGTCAAATAAAGTGAGTTTTTTTTTTTATGTAAAACTTACAGCAGTATTGATTTTAAAACTGTTATTGATAACCGCTGTTCGAGAAGATACGTTTGATACAAGTTGTTTTGTGTCTGAAAGAGCGCTTTTCGATTTATTGTCGTAAAACCAAAACCAAAACCAAATTTATCTCAACGGCAAATCAAAACCAACGGAAACATTACAAAAATGTGAGAATTTGTGAGCGCGACTAAGCGTGACTAGGCGTGACGCACTGATTTAAGCGCGCATAGCCTTATGTAACGTACATTAATT